AAATGCTTATGTCTTGTATGGGTATGAATTTACCAGGTTTGCCGAGTAGAAAAAAAGGCAGTGGTGTCGCGTCTAGTGTTGATTGTACCGTACTCGACTGCAATCGGTAGATTCAGGAAAAGTCGCGGATACTGTCGATACGGTACTTACTTAACAGTGCGCAGGGGTTTTGTTAATTAGAATTGAAAATTTTCGCACATCGCCCGTGATATATTACAAGCATGTTACGACTTACGCCGCTTACTATTCAGAAAGTTTACGTTTATTCCGTGTGAAGGGTTATTTATGACCTTATAGGTTATACGGTTATCATTTCCAATGTCTCTGATGGTTGCAAGGATTGCGAAATCTGTGAATTTTGTTTACTTGTTATATCAAACTGTATACATAGAAGGAAAATATCATATCATTAATTTTATCGATAGTAATTTGACGGGCCACCCGTAGCGTGAAAGTTATTAAGAACGACTGATAGTCCGCGATACAACACCGACTTAACAGTCGTGCGTCTCTCAACTCGTGTTGTAACGCGACTACGAGTCGTGCGTCTCTTAATCGTGTTGTAACGCGACTACGAGTCGTGCGTCTCTTAATCGTGTTGTAACGCGACTACGAGTCGTGCGTCTCTTAATCGTGTTGTAACGCGACTACGAGTCGTCCGTCTCTTAGTCGTGTTGTTTAGCTATTGACAGTCGGGCGACTTTTAGTCTTGTTTAGTCTGTTGTTAGTTCAGTTAAGTTGCAGTTTAGTTTAACTCAAGTGCGTGCGTAACCCGAGTAATTACATCAATTTTGGTGCCTTTCGTTTGTAGGAAATATGAATGCTGACAATGAACGTTTAAACAGACTAATTCGTCATTACTTTAACCTAGGGTTGCAGCAGAACGAAATACTTTTATATCTCTTAACACATGATGAAGATATCAGTCCAAGGACACTGAAACGCCGGCTCAAGACGATGGGTCTGTTTCGCCGAAAGATGTATACCCCTATAGAGATAGTTCGCAGTTTTCTGCAAGAACATTTGCTTGGAAGTGGACAAATGCCTGGGTATAAGTGGATTTATCGAAGATGCATTCGAAATGGAATGACAGTAAAGCAGTCATCTATTCGGCAAATAATGCATATATTGGATCCTGAAGGTATGTTGGTGCGTCGAAGGAAAAGACTAAGAAGAAGACATTACTATAACAAAGGCCCGAATTATATGCGGCATATTGACGGATATGACAAATTAAAGCCATATGGGGTATGCATAAGTGGATGCATTGACGGATTTTCCCGCAAAATACTATGGCTTAGAGCAGCATATTCCAACAATAATCCCAGAATTATATGTAGCTATTTTCTGGATACCGTAACCAATATAAAGGGTTATCCACAAAGTATAAGGACGGATATGGGCACCGAAAATGGACTTGTTAAACATGTGCAAGAATATTTTCATGAAGCAATGCATAATGTTCAAAATGGTAATGTATTGCCACCATTTTTATACGGTACAAGCCAAGCAAATCAGAGAATCGAGGCTTGGTGGGGTTTGCTCAGAAGACAACATAGTCAGTACTGAATGAACTGTTTTGAACATCTTAAGGATGACGGAATGTTTAATGGTACTTTAATCGATGTCACTTCTCCAGTATTGTTTCATGGATCTAATACAGGTATATAGGTAATTTACAGTAAGGTCGCATAGAATAGGCGATAAGGTGTGTTAAATGCGAAACCAGTGAGGTTACCAAAAATGTATGCATTTAAAAATTATGTTTGACATGTTCTTGATTGGCTTCTAAAAATTTTACGAAATCTGTCCCTTTCTATGTGAACTTATTGTAAAGTTTGGCTCCTGTCACTAATTTTTTTACCGTCAACCGATAGAACACCGTTTTCCTGTCAGTTGATGGTAAAAAAGATTACAGACAACTGATAGGAGCTTTAGACGAGATAAAGCCTTGTTTCGAAGTTTGACACAACATGTTGCCGAGACGGCACAAACGGCTTCGAGACAAGAAGAGATGTCTCGTATCGCGTGACATTTTTATTCACAAAGACATTTTTTTAATTGTAGGTAGAACTAAATGAATTTGCTCAAGAGTGGAACAACCACGTGATCCGTAAAACACGCAACAGCATTTCACCAAGCGGTCGCCCCGATATGATGTATGATTTTCCTGCTTTATATGGCGGTACCAATTTTCTAAATCCTGTTGAAGAGAATTACATCGAAAATTGTGCAAATCTGTGCGAAGTTGTGAACAGATCATGTCGTGATGAAACTGTATTTGAGCTATGCGATGTCATAAGTAGAGAAAAAAATCTTGGTGCATCGGATAGTACTTACTTAGCAATAAATAAGTATTGTGAACTAAGGACGGAAATTATTAAAATGCTGGAAGAACTACATTTGCATTAATTTTTAGTTTAGTTTTTAGATAATTTAGAAAAAACAGCAGTCATATTACTTAAGTGCTTATAATCTTTTCATTTCATGCTTAATTCTATGTATAGCTTCGTGGAAATGGGTTAAATAAATCATTGCAATTTAGCCGTTACGTTTATTGAAACAAAATAAACCTTCTAAGTAAAACATATTAGAATTCGCAGTTTTAATAAAAATGAAGCTGACAAAACTCAACAATAAACATAAAGTTACAAAAAGGCAACTGTGCATTCAGAATATGGATAACTTACAAACTACGAGAACCCAAAAGAATTGCAATTGGCAATTGAGAAATTCAAAGCATTTGTAAATTCTTCGTATTTCGTATGTGCAACTGGCAATTGAAGCGTCAGAGAACATGTATTTGCTTTTGGGTAAATACTTGAATCGCCGTGCAAAAATTCTATTTGCGGCTTTGTTCGAAAGCCTAATGGAGGAATATGGTCTGCACCTGTGGCAAATACCATAACATCTGTTACTGACACCTTTCCATGGGAGCAGGTACTAGATATATCTTGAGAGTTATTACCTGAAAATTACAAAAAATTAATAACTTGCTTTAGACGATTTTTTATACCTTCACAGTCAAGCAGGAAATCCCGAAAATAGGTAATAACCTTGTTTTCGACTTTTCGTGTATTTGAACCGATGGCGGAATATGATACTTCAAACAAGTTATCCAGATCTTCTGCTGTAATTGCTATTATGTCATTGCACATATACCTTTTAAATAGATGAGGATATTTTGTCAAATACTCATAGACGTTGCACGTCTTGAGGCCTTCCATGAACTGAAATAAAGCATCGCTAATTCTTGTGACAGTAAAAAATGTGACCGTCCCTGGAAAGGTAATATTATGAATATGACGTTCTTATATTCAGTCCAGTTTAGTTACTCACCCTCTAAAACTTTTGGTATCTCTTCAATCTTGAAAATAAAACTATATCCCGCAGTCGAAAATATATTGTTGTCCGTAACTATATTCTGTGCATCGGAAAGACAATCACAATTTTTTAGTTGTATTAGGGTCGATCTGACATCCTCTTCTACATCTTCAAATGTGGGTTTTGTATTCTCATCTCCGACTATCAAACTAAAGAGGAAATCCGAAACAAAATGTGGGGCAGGGCCTCCGTGTATTAGCGATAAAGCTATGATCCGGCCTGCTTCGAAATAATGCTTGTTTTCCAAAGCAACTGCGTTAAGTGATAGTTTTTTGCGGTTACCGACAAACATTGGACTATCTTTAATGTAAGTTAAAACAAGCCGAAAAAGCTCCCTCGTTGGCCCTCCATCGTCAATGGCCCCTTCCGACAGTCCCTCAATATCGCTAAATTTCACGAACATTTTTTTATATGGTGAAAATGTCGGTCGTCTCATGGCCCTTACACAACACTCAAAAATTTCATCTCTGAAAACAGTAAATGTATATGATGTTTCGAGATCAACTGATTTTTGTAAAATTCGTAACACTTCTTTAAACGTCTGCGGAAAATATTGACATTCTGAGAGATCTAGACTCGGATCTAGATTGGTAGGAGTATCGCCAATTACCACACAAGAATAGTTAGTAGAGTTAGTTGGTTGTGAGGAAGTTTTGTTGTGGTCACCACTTCCATCTAAGATTGAATTTATAAGAAGTGTAATGTCTGTTGCGCATGTTGGTTCCTTTTCAAACGCATCAAAATTGAAATCTATAAAAAAGTGGAGTAGTGTTAAGGTTAACTACTTATGAACCATTATTTAATGAACCTAAAATCAATAATATTATTCCCAACACAATTTAAGCAAAGGAACTAATAACGAATGAAAGATTAAAATGTACGTGTGTTTACAGAGCAGAGGACGAAAAAAACGTCTATAGGATACATATATGTACATGGAGTTGTATAATCGTTACAAGCGCATTTCTCAGCCAAATTTAATACCTTGTAATTCCTAAAATACTAAGCGAATTTCAAAAAGCAGGGCAGATTTCGAAAAGTCTTTTCATCCTCTTTTGAATCATTGGTAACATTTTTGTACGGAGATCATGTTGGTATTTTTTGAATGTACCATTTCATAGATAGGTATTGACCATACCTCGGAACGTTTTCAGAATTTTACGAATATCTACACCCCCCGTTAAAATGTAAGAAGTTATTACCAATGATTCAAAAGAGGATGAAAAGACTTTCCGAAATCTTACCTGCTTTTTGAAATACGCTAGCTAGTAAGCTAGTAATAACCTCAAACCACGTACTAATATTACTCAGTGTTAATTATGCAGACTTTACTCTTTTATACTATTTAAGTAAATGTACCCCTATTTGCAGGGCCTTTTATTATGTGTCAAAAGTTAATTGCTATTCGTAATAACTGTCCATTAGTTTTAGTTTTCGAAAATAAATCTTTTTTAATAGTTGATTGTGTCAATCAGAACTTTAATTCGCTTATACGATTATTTATGAATACAGAAACCAAATTTGGAAAAGCGAGTTGCTAATCATAATTATTTATTGTGGAGTTATATGAAGTATTCGTACTGTAATAACTCACCATCACTTGCGGGTGTTTTCAATTGAAAGTCATCGGCACAATTTTTCTGATGTCATAGTTGAGTAACGTAATTCCGTGACTGACTTAATTCATGTGGTGATATTATCACTTTCATCGTTTGATTCAAAACAGGAATTGCAATACTAAGTTTAATACCACACCTATCACACTTTCAAAAAATCAACTTCACAATCATCAAAGTTATGGTACAATTAAGATGTTCGGTATTCGGTGGACTTGCTGGGAGTTTCTTTTTGGTTTCGTCGACAAATAAAGCCGCAATTTTTGCAAAAGCTGTCTCCTTCAGAATTGAATCAACAGTTGCGGCGTCCGCAACTGATTCGTGACACGAATTGGAAAGTCCACATCGTAATCATCCTATTTTTAAATTTTACATTTACCATTCGCGGAAAAATAGCCCGATGCGCCTTTTGGAGGTATGAAAAGATTTTCCCGCATTGATCGGTACATAGATTTTCTTATTACCACCCCCAAGTTGATTCCTTTACTTGTTTGGCTTCGTTTTCCGTCCCAAACATAACCCAACCCAATTAAATCTCTTTCGATTCTTTTCTTCGATTTTACCCGGTATTGTTACTCTTCTGAAGCCAAATTTTCTCATTTTTTTGTTGTAAATCCCGTATCAGTTTTCTTTTCTCGGCTCCCGATTACTTTAAACTATACATAAGTCTCTACGGCGGACTCTGTGAGCATATTTTGGTAAGAATTCCTTCAGGTCCTTCTCTTTCATGTCTTTTAGTAGTTTAGGTGTAATCTATAACAACATAAGTGCTCTTTACATTTCAATGTAAACGGTTGCATACAATCTGGCAATTTATAAGCTGCTTTCGTTATCAAATTGAATGTAAATGAGGCATAAAATTGCTTTTCGGCTGATTTGAAAATTTACGTTTCAATGTAAATGTCCACTTTGTGACTTGTCAATTCTAAACTGGTTCAAGCCAAGTAAATATTGTACCTTTATTCAATCGATGATTTCTAATATACAGGGTGTTCCTAAAAGGTCTGTACAACGCGCTACCAGGGGTTCTTGGTATCAAAATAGGACGATTTAACCCTACTTACCTCTATCCAAAAGTGCTTCGTTAAGGCGCTATCTACCGCCAAAGATTCAAAAAACAAATCGTTATTTTTATTTTATCGGAAAATGGTTTTGCCGATTAAAATGAAAGTCGGGATGTGAATGTCTAATGTAAAAAGGGTCTTTGTGATATCATCGTATTGATTGTAGTTGCTATGTAGGTGGTAAAATACTGACCATCCACATCTGAAGAGGTCTAAAACTTTTTAACTACCTACTTTTTTGACGGCTCTGAATTTTTAGACACTGATAGACAGTTTACTTGCAAGCATTTTTTGTCTCTTGATGAATATCGCTATTGGTGATGGTTTACGAAAAAAAAAAAAATTTAGGCATGATGAATGGCATGCACCATACATGCGATTGTTCCTCAAAAACCATAAGTGCAAAGCAAGAAGTTAGGCTATGACGAATTTGGAAACTGTGAGTATACTCTAACGCATTGGCGACCATTTCCACGACGTATCCAAACACATAATAGCAATCAGTTAACTCTGCCGTTACGTATTGAAAGGCCATATTACAATTTCTCACACAATGATTTAAGTCTTCAAGCCAAACGGTAAATTTGTTTCAGATTAAGAACACACACGTTCGCCACTCCAAGGTTTACCCAGCCATCTTCGTGAATTTTTTGAGTAAGAGAGTGATGTATGGTGGCATGCCATTATCTGCCTAATTTTTTTTTTTTTCGTAACCAATCACGAATAGGATATTCATAAGAGACAAACAATGCTTGCAGAGTAACTGTCTACAGTGGTCTAAAAATTCAGACCGTCAAAATAGTATGTTAAAAAGTTTTAAGGACCTCTTCAGATGTGGATGGTCCAGTTATTTTACCACCTACATAGCAAACACAATCAAAACGATGATTCACAAGACCCTTTTTATATCATTAGACATTCACATCGAATTTCAATTTTAATCGGCAAAACCATTTTCCGATAAAAAAATAACGATTTGTTTTTTTGATCTTGGCGGTAGATGCGCCTTACCGGAAGGCAAACTTTGGATAGAGGTAAGTTTGGGTTAAATGCGTCCTATTTTGATGTACAAAGAAACCTCCTGGTAGCGCGTTGTACAGACCTTTAGGGACACCCTGTACATACCATAGTACATAAATCATCCCATTTAAAATACATTATTTGTTTTGTCCTCAACATTGGAAGAGATACAAGAGTATATTTTTCATGCAAAATGGACTCCTATATGAAGTCTCTATGTAGTCTATGTATATGAGTACCAAAAGTTAAAATGCGGCCAGTTGATTACAATATTAATGACCTTCCTCATTAAACCCTCATATTTTCTAATTGGCAAGGGTCAACTCCCTGTTTACTTAAAAATTCAAACATATCTTTCTGCAATCTCGTCGTCTCTTTCTCCATCATAATGAACACTAAAAAAATTACATACTCGTCAATAAAAACAACAAACACAAAACAACTTTGGGATTGCGTGACTTATAAATTCAATTCGAACGACTGCGCAGTAGCTATCAACTCATCGTGTCAACAGGAAATCGGGGGCACCAAATACAAATTTTGGCGTATTAAACGAGTGCCATATATACAAGGTATCTTTTTTCCTGCCGGCCCTCGCTCGCGAAGATATGGGAGGCTCCCAAAAGACGACGCTGGACAATAGGTTTTTCTTGAATAATTAAAGTGCTTAATGTAATTTAAATTAAATGGTACTATGATGACATAGTAGGGACCCCTTAAACGAGTAACTTTGAAAGATTAAGTTTTTTTAGTTTACCAGACTAACGTCTCACTATATATAAATCACTCTATATAAAAAAATATTTTTTTTGGATAGCTTGAACTTAAGCCTATCAAAAATAGTAGTCTTTGTACATTTAAAATAAAGAAAGGTGGCAAATCTACTTCGGTATAACCGGAAGTGATATTGGAATGCGGGTTTTCACTAGCTAGCTAATGCTTTGTTCCCCTGTTTTTAATGACGCAAAGTAATACATATAGTTGCATTTGAGTTTTTCGAAATAATTCGTCGATAGCGTAAATCAACGCTTCCTAGCAGTATTTTAACAGATATGCTAACGGTCAATATTTTTTTTAGTAACAAAATAAAGCAATAAGGAACACGTTTAAAATTTGCAAGTATTGTTCTAGTGGTTGAACCGGCCTATACCTACGGCAGCAAGTGTCCAGTATGAACATAAAATACTCCTAACATGCAAGTGACACATTTAAAGGCCATTGGCCCAAAATTCACCACGGCATCGGCTAATCCGGTTTTTGGCAAGATCCCATCACGTGAGCTCGTCCATGATTTTAGTAAAGAGGTCTCGTGATTGAACAATAACCGTTGGGCTGTGGGTCAATATCAGACCACCCGTACTATAATTTTTTTGTAATGACCCTTGAATGTCTCAGTTCGTATCTCGTTAGCTCGTACATTGTTAATGTTAGTCATGAAATAATTTAAAAGCTTCACGTAACCAAATATTAGTAGTTATTTATTGGCTAACAACTAAACTTACGTATTGTATAGCTAAAATATGAATAAACACTTTTTGAGGGTTACGCACGCACTTGTAAGTTAAACTAAACTGCAACTTAAACTGAACAACAACAGCTAAAACAAGAGTAAAAGTCGCCCGACTGTCAATAGCTAAACACACGACTAAGAGACGCACGACTCGTAGTCGCGTTAACAACACGATTAAGAGACGCAACGACTTCGTAGTCCGCGTTACAACACGATAAGAGACGCCCGACTGTTAAGTCGTGTTTATCGGGGGGGGGCGATATCAGTCGTCTAACTCACGCTACGGTTGGCGCCCCGTCAGAGCTACCTGTATATATGTTAAAGACGGCCATGGTTTACAAGACGAGACGCTTATATGGCGATGATTAGATATAAATTTAAAACACTCACAGTACTGGCAATCCAATCTACGGTTGTCAGAAAAAAGAACCGAAATTTCACAGATGAATGCTTCGAAAATGTAATTTTTCGAATCGCGTTTTTAAATATGATTCAATCATACTCCAAGGACTGTAAAATCGCCAGAAATGAAG